ATCAGAGACTTTGGAACTACTAGATTAGCAGCTACTATTTCCTGATTCTAAGAAGTGATATAACACAACATCTGGCACTTATAATTCCTTGTATAAATTTCAGAGATTCCATGAAACTATGCTTCATTCACCAACCTGAAAAGACATTGCTTCTTCTTGCGCAGTACATAAGCTAGAACTAAATCTTTTAAGGTGAACCTCCTGAAACTTATTTATAATTCATGAAGTCCACCCACTATTGAAATCATCCATGTCTCTATGGTTTGTCATTACCACTGATACATTTGTTTTCACAGCTGCACAATGTCCATAATCTGACTGTTCAACAAACAGAAAGGCTTTCACTGTCTAGCAAAATAATCCATATGCTTTACCATGCTGCTCTTCCATACAATAAATATATTCTGCATCACTGTGACCTCATAACTAATTATACCTTTAGAACTTCTGAAGTTTATCAGCCATTTCAATGATGCATGGTTCATTTGAATGGTGAGATTTCTATACTACTCTATGAACTATATAAGTAGTGGGGGGGGGGAGTATCTGACATATACTACAACTGTAAGCAGTTCTTTGTCATGCAGTATCGATATTCAGGTGCCATCATCATATAACTAGTGTATGCAATTAGGCACTTCATACCTTTCTGTATCTGTGACAACACTGCTCTGACTCCACTATCACTGGCATCTGTATCCAGAGTGAATGGACAATTGTTCCTAAAAAAAGCCAATGCTGAAGCATCAACTAAAGCACATTTTAATAGATGAAATACAAATCAGCTTTAGCCAGAAAGACAATGATGCAACTAACCTAGAGAAGTTTACCAGAATCACCACAAAAAATCAATAATAGAACACAAAGCTTAAAAAGCTGCAAACTTTTTCTTAGTCACAGGCTGGAACTAACCCTTAGCGAACACAATTCTTGTGAGATTAGTGGAGTATACACTCCAACCTTGTCTATTACATGAATGAGTTCATAATACATTATGAAATAACACCGGTATAACTGTACTACATATTTTCATGCAGTCTACTGTTTCAGGGTTCTCACAAGTCAGCATTGGATGGTTTTTATTGTTGAGCTACAGCTCATCTATACCAAAGTCTATGTTGGCTGATCATTAAAATACTAATACTCCAACAAAGAACAGACACTATGATTTTTATTCTGTGAGAGACAGCACAAAAGAAAGATGGAATCACATTTCTCCCTTTAACTCAACTTTCAGTGACAGTACCAGATACACTGAAAGGTTCAGCAAGGATCTGGCAGTGCCAGTGTCTACTAAATAATACCCTGATTGGGATGAACCAAGCTGGTCCCAACACTTTTGGTCACAAGAGAGCTGCTGCACCTAAATGAGTTGGTGGCCAGGACAAACCAGACTCCATTAGTTTAAACTAGCCATAACAGCAGCAACCAGTACTTGCAATTGACCCTTTTGCTGTTGTGTACTATCTCTCCTGTAGCATAAGAGAATATGGGCAGGTCTCTCTTTGAATGATCAATAACCTGCAATTAAAATAGATATTCCATCTCTCAAGTTCAGAACATTGTCTGTAGGGATCTAACTACTGCAGTATAGCCATGGTAAGAAGGCTTCAACATACCCGGTGGTGCTTGCAGCAGTGGAGCTATGGGTCTTCCAAGTTCAGAACATTGTCTGTAAAGAACTAACTACTGCAGTATAGCCATGGTAAGAAGGCTTCAACATACCTGGTGGTGCTTGCAGCAGTGGAGCTATGGGTCTCTCAAGTTCAGAACATTGTCTGTAAAGATCTAACTACTGCAGTATAGCCATGGTAAGAAGGCTTCAACATACCTGGTGGTGCTTGCAGCAGTGGAGTTGCGGGTAATTTTCAAGACTTTCATGATGTAGATATCTAAGAAGTATATTTTGGCCTATGAGGAAAATATTTAGCTACATACACAGACATTTGTTTTATAGGCATCTTGTTTGATAAAATTACATGTGATTGCTTGGAAAAACCTCCATGAACTTTTGAATGATAATCCCTTCATGATCTGTTAAACCATGCTGGGATATGTCTCTGCAAGAAAGAACCTCAGATAAGTCATATATATATATATATAGCCAAGTTCTTGTTGGGCCCATGCTTCAAAGCTTTGAACTCATTTAAATAGAGAATTCTGTATCCTGACAGATCAAACCTACAGTAGAACTTTATTAAGATTGTATTTCAAACACTTAATTCTTTGACTATGACCCAGCCAAAGTAACCATGAGAGTGGTCAAATTATATTTTTGATAATGTAGGCATATTTTCACTAAATTTTGCAGATTATCAGTAAATGTTGCAAGGTTTTCGTATACAAAATATCAGCCTTTTAATTATGTATTAAGAATTTTTTCAATTACAGATTTGCTTCTAATTTTTTTTTATTTTTAAATGTTGAATATCAAACATGGACAGTAATTTTGATTTTATGAATAAAAAACACTTTTCTTCTTCTGAAAATTGTCAAATTTCATTTGCATAATTTCTATAACATCCTAAGTAACTATGAAACGTTTTTTTTAGAAAAACTGCATATTTTATCTGTTATTTTCTCAAATTTAACTATATATGGGGTTGATAAATCTGACTGACCTCATAACCTTCACAGAAAATAAATCTTAATTACCCTTTTTTCATTCTATAATGTATGCAAATTGTAACAGGAAACCACAATTGTTTATTCTAAATAGCTTAAATCTCATAACAATATACATGTTCTTATATTTATTAATTTTTTTGTTTTATTAACCTTTAAACCATCTCTAACAATACTGCCATACAAGTTGTATATCATGCGGTGCACATGCAGCTAACTTTACCATATCAAATAGCATAAAACTGGCCTTTACAAAGTACATGTCTTTTAGTCTTAGTACTAGCGCACCAGTATTTTCTAAAAAAAAATCACATTTTGGTTACCATACATTACATACATATATATACATTATTACTATTTACAAACAAATTCTTAAATTTCAGTTATTTTTCTTAAAACATAGAACAGTAAATAAAAAATATATAGAAAACAATTATCTCTCCTACCTACGACATTACAAAATTTCTTTGTACTTGCCTGTATTACTTGCTAGCCTCATCAAATTTCGCACATGGAGGATGTCAAACATAATAATTTTTGTAGGTTTTATATGTGCATTTTGAAATAACGAAAAATACAAATTACTACTAATAAAACAAAATTTCACTGTAAAATATTAGGCTTCCTAACTAAGCTGTATTTGAGTCTAAAAAATCTCATTTCTGATCACCATCTTGCCTAGGCACCACTCTTCAAACTTGCAAAAGAAAAGATGGCTTTACCTGCATAAGTATTTTATAAAGGCTTGGAGAATTACATAGTCAAAATGAGCACTTTTGATAAGTTATAAAGATGTAATTGAGAGAAGTGGCCTTAGGTAAACAAGTATTTCTAAAAGAGGAAGAGGTGGGTGGAGCTACTTTGGTGGATTTGCTAAATATAATGATATCTCAGCAAATAGAAAAGTTAGGACGTTCTTATTTTATATTCTAGCTTGTCAATATAGATGTTGTATTGTGGGCATCATAAAATGTATCCTGAACAAAAGCAGAAGACAATGTATCACATGACACACAAAAATAGATATTTAGCAATTTGTTTAATATTTGCTTTTAAATTAAAAATTAAATAATGTATAATACTAAAATTTGAATTATAAACTACAATGTAATGCAAAATTTATTTATATACATTCACAAAATACTAGTTTAATAAAATTTTAAATGCAAGTCTACAAATGACGTACCCATAACAAAAGGGTTAACTGCTCCTCATCCAAATGTTTGACAGCATTTAATGCTGAATTGTCCAGACTCAGTATCAGACACTGCACTGCCTGTCTCTGAGTACAGCCATTAGAGATAATTTCATCAAATATCATACTATAGCCTTTTGCCTGTGTGGTTTCAATTACAAAATGGCAGATGTGTTATCTTAAATGTGGTTAACTACAGAAAAAAGGTAGAAGATCATCCTTTCAGATTTTACAGTTTTAAATCAGTACATATTTGTTAATTCAACAAGAACTGCTTGAATTTTAAAAGTTTGAATACTGTGTTTATATTTTAATTAGGTTAGAAAATTGATTCATATCTTGAAGATCTGATTACATGAAACAAAAAAATACTTGTATTCTAACTACACTGTCAAAATAATGAACATTTATATCCTAGTTAATTGTTAGCTTAAAAACAGATGTGTGTCTTTTTAGTTGCTCCTCCTGAAACTCCTTATTTGTCATTCATGGAATCCATCCACTATTGAAGTCACTCCAGTTTTAAAACTGCAAGGTACTGTATTCAATACTGTCAACTGTCCTAGATATTATGAGACTAAGAATGATATGACAAAGTGCTTCATCACATGTAACAGCTCTGTCCACAACCTGAATGTTCAACAAATAGAAAGGCTTTTACTTTCTGGCAAGATAATTCATCTGCTTTACCATGCTGCTGCTCCAGACAAGGTTATACAACAAAGAACTTTTCCTGCACCATTGTGATCTCAACCAATTATACCTTCCAAATTCTAAACACATAAGTCTTACTCAATTGTTAAATTTAAAACAATGTCCACTTGCAACAAAAGTCATTCGCTTTATAAACAGCATATGCTTCTATTCTAGTTAATTTTCAAACTGAAAACAAAAATGCATAATTGTGTCTCACTGAACTATTTGCTTGAGAACATTAAACACTTGTGCCTGATGACTCAACTATCAACTTAAAAACACAACTCTTGTGTCACAGACTACTGATAACTTCTTTTTTTTGGTATATATTTTGTTCTAGTCAACTGATCACTTCCTTGAACATGAACTTGAAAGTTACTCATATTGTTTGAATAGTTTTTACAATTAATTTTACCTTTTACTTCTTAAATAAAACTTACCCAAATGGTTGGCAAATAAATAACCAAATGTAAAACCAACTCACCCTTGAAAGTATAGCTCTGACTGGTCGTTTTTGCAACAGCTTCTCCACTCACATTCAAGATTCCACTCTACAAGTCAAAATAAATAATTCAATATCATCAAGTATATTTGTTACAGGTGTATCAAAGAGAACTTTTTCGTATTTACACGTATATATAATGTAAATCCCAACAATATCTATAGACAACAGCAAAAATTCCAGAGTCAAATGAATATTATCCTAATAAGAATACAAAAAGAAAACATGAATAAGCAAGTAAAAATTGATTTTTTTTTCTTAAATGAGATGTAAAAACATACATATAAATTTCAGATTTTTGGAAGGTCTGGCAGACTAAGTAAAATAAATCAAGTAAATTATATAAGCAACAATATTCAAAATGATAGTCAATTCCTCTGTGCAAAAAATAATCACAGCAATCAGATAATTAATTCTATATGACAAACAAATGGTATTACATTAGTTCTTTTATAATTTTTTAAAATCTGAACTTCAAAGGTCAAACAATAATACTACATTATCAGTGTAGTATTTAACACAAATCTTGTAAACACATGATACTTGTCAATAACAAATGAATATACCTGCTTTGCTATGGAATCTCCCATGTGCTCTTTCATGTACTGAAGTGAAACCACAGTATTCTGTAAGTGAGAAGTTCCTGCAGCGGAAGATGTACCTGAAGCTCGTTGAAGAGTGATTGTTGTAGGTCTCTGAAAATTCATGGTTGTGTAGCCTAGAATAATTAAATGAATGAAATAAATTTTACATACACTTGAAATTCTAAAACAATTTTATGCCAAGCATAGCTGCAACTTGTTAGACTACTATAGAGGAAAGTGTGCATTATGGGTGAAAATAAAGAAAAGCACAAGTATCATTACATAAAAATACCTTTTTAGTTAATGTTTAGTGTCATTATCTGACACAATAAATATTGTATTATACATAATTGTTAGTTACTAGTTTGCCAGTATTTATATGTACAATATAAATGGTACATCATGGGGAAGTCATGCTTCCAATCAAAATGTTATTTTCTTACCACGTGAACCAGTGAAAAAATTACTTTTAGTTGCAAATCTTGTCAATTTACATTTCCACACAAACAGAATTGCATAGTTTCATACTACACACAATATATCAATGGATTTCTATTAGTTTTTAAGGTCAAATTATGATTGCATTTTAATTTCAAAATTGAAAAAAATAGCTCTTTTGTTCCAGGTTATGTCAAAAAATATATTCTCTTATAAAAACAAGTCCAAAATATTAAATTCCTAACACACACACCCTTTTTTCCACTGCACTTACTAAAATATTTAAGTATTGTTACTAAGAGACCAACATATTGATCTCTTTAGTGAAAAGATTCTATTAATTGCTGCATCAAAATAACAAATCTGATTTTTGTTTCCAGGAAACCAAGTTATTAATTTCTCTGTTAATAATACTCAGCTTACCACAACATCTTATTAAAATATAACTATTGTTATTGGTAGCACAATCTGGTGATCTCTTTAGTGATTGTGCTCCTCTTATCACTTCATCTTAGCAACAAACATTATTATTACCAAGAGATCAACTCTTTTAGTAATAACATTTGGATCAAAACTACCTTATAAAGGACTAACACAATTTTCAACAAAACATCAACAGTGAGTTTTCATTAACAAAAGAACATGCCAGAATTAACATTTCTTTATAAATCACTACATGCTATATATTATTTAGATCTTCCAGCTACTGATTTAAATTGCAACAGGATTCATGGTAAATACCAGCAGGAATATCCTCTATCCTGGCTGGAAGATTTTCACTTCTTTATTTTCTATACCATTTTAATATATTTTACAAGAAATAAATCTGTGGAACAAACTATCATCTACTGGTAGAGACTACAACTTTATAGAAGTTTAAGGGTTGATATTAGGGCTGAATTTAGTGATAATTTTCTGTTTGTTAAGGGAGGGAGGATGAGAATCAAGACATCCTTGATGGGCCAAAAAGGCCAATTAACATCTCATAATTACAATTGTACTCATTCTGTATAATAGTTACTAAAGTCAGTTTCAAAATTATTATAAAGCAAACTGTGAAAAAAAAGTTGTTAAGTATGCATATTCTAAATATCATTATGTATGCAATTGCAGGAATCTAGAAAATGTTCAAAAAAAAGATCCAATACCTTTGAAGGTTGTTCCCATCTTCATCAACAGATCAAGAGCACTAGATGGCTTTTCATCAATTAATACGAGTCTACAAATCATAACTATTACATTCTTTTGATGTAATTTATACTGTGCAATAATACAAGTGAAATAATACTCAGAAGTATATGTGTAAAAGAAAATGTAGAGAGAGAATCACACATACTGCTGTGGATTATATTTTTACTGCCTTAATTTAAAGGTTTGCTAGAGTGCATAACATTAAGATCAAATAAGTTCATAAAAGCAGTCCAAGAATACCTAAAATGTTCAAAAATATTAGTAATATTGAAAGGTGTCTACAAACAAGGCTTTATTATAAATACAAGAATCAGTGCGGCATTAAATTATTTTTCAGCTGATACAGTGCTAATCATTCAGTGAAATATTTGGATTAGTGTTAGTTATTGCATTTATTCAGTTAACTAATAAATTATCCAGGAAATTGTACAAGTTTATTTCTACATTAGTCATAGTACAATTAGTGACTAAATCTGTTGAATTTGAAATTAAAAACATTATTTTGAAAAGGGGTCTACAACTGCACACAAGAGATAGTAGCCTGTAGCCAACATAAAGGAAGAAATAAACTAATTTGTTATCATTAAGTGGACTGTACTTGGCCTTAATTTTACAAAATAATTGAAAAGAACCTGCCTAACAAAAAACATTCATTAGAAAATACAAAAGAAATTTTAATAAAACAGTAAATGACCTAATAATTTCAATGAACATGCATAAAATGCAAACAGAAATGTTAGGTGTTAGTTCATAAATTTTCAAGAGAAAAACAATTTTAGAAAATCAAAAGGCTTCTGATCTATATATTTTCAACTACTGTAAATTTCTTTGCCATTTTTACGACAGTGGAAGTCACGTGACGCTGCTGGCATGTGCGAGGAGTTTCTCGAGTGATCATGAATTTCCTAGTTTGTTCCAGGCGCCCTCTTTTTTAGTATATAAGCCCGGCAAAAAAAAAAGATAGAATTGCACAGGCAGATAGATTGAAGATTGAGATAATTGAGTCAAGCGAACAGTAGACACTGTAAGTAAAGTGTGTGAATCGCTGTGAATTATAGCATGTTTTTATAAAAGTAGTTAAGTTGTAGTGAGTGTAGAAATTCTGTGTATTACAAAGTTGTATCGAGAAAGAATATTAATTTTATTTAAGAAAGGATTTGTATCGCTGAAGTTCCTCGAAAAGAATT